ATTTATTTAATGATGATTTGCATTGCGAACTGAAAAACTGAAAAACTAAAAAACTGAAAAGTGTTTTCCACTTGTTTTGGCCTGGTGGCCGCTCCTTGATAATTGCAGTTCATTTGCAGTTTTTTGGGTCGCTTGATATATGACCAAAAAATGCTATTTTTTTTTCCAACCTCCTGGCTATGTATATGTTTGTTTATGGCCTTCATCAATCAAGGGTAATGCCCGACCGCCGGCCAAGACGGCCAGATTGCCAAATGACTGTAAAACATAAAACTTTTAACGATCGGAAAGCCAAAAGACCAAAAGTGCTCAGACACGCGTAGACAAAGCGCCACAGACTGTGGCACAGGGCAGAGGAGGCAGGAGGAGGCAGGCGCAGGGGCCTGGGTAAGGGTTAATTGGCTGTTGCCAGTGCCCATAACTTGGTTAAATACCAAAACGGAGAGTTGCGCAATCAATATACAAATCAATCCAAGAAAAAAGAGGAACCCCCTAATCCGGGCACCGCCCCAAAACACAATTGCAATCCCAAAAAAAAATAGGAATATCGACAAATGTTGAAATAAAGAACTGCTGCAATCAGCCAAGTGCAACATCCAATGTGCTGCCTTTGTGGCAGAGAACAGATTTTCGGCCTTAACTTTTGGTTTCTGGCCATTTCGAGGGCGTTGCTTCTTTGTTTGCAACAAATTGAACATTTTCATTCGATTTTCATCTGGGACCAGGGGCGGGGGCAACGCACACACACACGCACCAGGCTGGTGGGGCAAGGATGGGGAGGCCTCGGCCTCGGCCTGGGCACATTCAATTGTAATGCCCAGGAGAGTGATTCAATTGAATTTGTTTGTTTTAGTGTACGCTTCATTTATTTGCCAAAGCGAATGAATAACAGCCGTTGCCATGCCTCGGACCCGTGCCACATATCTGTGGCACACGTAAGAGCATAGCCCCATAGCCCCCCATAGCCCCCCCCCCCCCCCCATAGCCCCCAACTCCAAGGATCTCTGTGTCATTTGAACTTTGTCGAACTTCCGGTCAAATGGCGAGGGCCTCCCACTACCCACGCCCCCCACCCCACCCCTTTCATGGCATATGCCGTGTGTTGTTCAGGTGTGCCCCTCCCCCACCCCCCCCCACCCTCCCCCCCTTGACTGTGCGCAGAAAGTTTCCTGCTTGCGCCACCTCCCTGGGGACCTCTTAAGATTTCATTGTGTAAATTTACTGCGGCATTCCTGGGCTCCTGAAACCTCAAGAAAGAACCCCTTGGTTACCCTCCTACTAAAGCCAAGCAAAAAGAGGACTTCAAGGGCCAGCATACCCGTACAATCAGCGATTACGGGGTATACGAAGAGCTTTGAATTCAAATCGCGAACTGCTTAAAAATTGAACAACAAATGAAATTCCCATAGGTGCCAGAAGTTTTCACTGTCTGCTGCAGGCATTTAAATGGTCCTTCTACCTTCGTCCTGCGTCCTTCCAACGCAACGAGGAAAATCTCTTCTTGGGAAAGTTTTCCGCGCTCTTTTCACCTGCTTTTGTGTCTGCAACTGCGAGCGGGCTACATTTAATGTCATGTTTTGTAAGTTTCTAGACGATGCCGCCCCCCGCCTTGCCCCGCCCCACCTGTCTACCCGTTGCCAGCTTTTGGGGCAGGCAGAGAGCCAGCTTCAAGCTGCTTTAAGACGAATTTCTGATTTAATTGTGGCTAAACACATTTCCATAGCCACTAATTAATTATAGAGGATACCCCCCCCCCCCTCCACATGGGGAAGAAGGAGGCAATCGGATTAAAGTCAGGGCTCGGGAGAGGCAGAGGCAGAGGCAGAGGAAAACCGCTTATAGACAATGGCAAAAAGGATTGCAATTGTCTTGTTATCTCCGCTAATAATGTTGATCTGATTAGCCGATCCCGGCCCGGGGGCCTCTACTTAACAAATCATAGACACACCCCCACCCCCCACCACACCCCCCCCCCCCACACACACACACACACAATGTGTATCAAAACTTGCCATTGCAAGTAATTAAATTCAAATTGAATTCAGAGAAAGAGAAAGAGAAAGAGAAAGAGAAAGGGGTAGGGGGAAACTTTTTTAATCCAACGCTCATTTGTTGTTGTTTTTTTTGTGCGTGGTGCCCCGAGGGGAGGGGCCCCTGGGGGCGGGGGGGCCATTAAAACTTTAAGCGAAAAACTTTCCTGCGTAAGAGATTTTAATTTTAATCAGACAAAAAATATGCTGCACGGAAACAGTCCATCAGTAAAACTATTTAATTGAATAATTTACAAAATAAAATGTACTTTTGATGACTGTACTACACCTGTAAAGCTATGCCCCCCCACTCGTCCATAGATGAATGGATATGTAGATGTGGATCTTTGCAAATTGCAGAGCGGCAAATGAAGCCATAGAAGTGAGTCGGGGGGGGCGGGGACAACTCTTGCCATCTCCAAACCAGATCCAGATCCAGCTCTACGTTGGCCAAATGAGTCACAATTAAAACCCAACCAACGCGAAAGTAGGGGGAGTGCTGGAGGCACGGGTGCGTGCATACCCGCGGCAGGCAATGGCTAAGGGGTATGGCGGCAGCGGCAGCGAAAGCGAAAGCGAAATTGTTATTGCCACATGCAACCGCAACAACAGCAGCAGCAGCAACAGCAACAGCAACAGCCACGATGTGGCTGCCTCGTCTCGCAATAATTGTGAGCAAATATTACATGAAAGCGCACAGCGAAAGAGAGGGGGAGACAGAGAGGGGGGGTGGGGAGGGGGTTTGGAGCTCCGGCAAACGGCATATTATCGTGGCAGGCGATGACGATAACCACAACGACAACGGCAACAGCAAAAACAACAGTGCAACATCATAATTATCGAGTGACTCCACAGACCCCCCAGCCCCCCACAGCCCCCCGCCCCCCGACCACAGCCGCACCCGCCCCCATCCCCGCAGCAGCAATTATGCCAAAAGCGCGTTTATTATGTGAAAAGAAACCAAAGATAAAATATTGAATTCAACTCGAGCTGCAGCGAAAATCACTTGAGGAAAAGCCGTCAAGGAAATCGCTCGATACGACAGCAAAAACAAGTAGAGTCGCAGCGGCTGATACCCTACAACAAAAGAAAGGTACAGACTTGAAATATATGCCTTGTCTGCAGGCTCCAAAGGTGGGGGACATCCTTGGTACTGCCTCTGCCTGGGCCTCAGTGGACTCTCTTCTAGGGTAGCGACCACAAACGGCAGGCAGCAAAAAGTCTGGCCATACATATAGCAAAGTTGTCGGGTGAATTTTACTGATTTAGAGCGCTCGTCGGCGGCACCGAGCCATGCAGCCATGGAGGCACGTCTGGTGGCGTGTTACGACATCGATGTGGAGCTGCATTCAGAAAATCATCAACATCCAACCGCATTAGAGGCAGTGGCAGCTATAGCAATACCAATTACAAAAGCCTGGCCATAATCTGTGCCGCAATTTTCATTGATAATTAAATAAGTAATACGAGAGAGAAATTTCCTTAATGGCTGAAAAAAATGGAACATAGCAGCCCTGTCTTAGAATTTCATTATTTTTTGGGCCGAATATTGATTTAATTACATTTTTCTTTCACTTTTTCCATGAGCCAGGCCCCAACAGATCCCCGCCTGATCCTCCATCGGTAGAGGAAGTGACTGGGGCGGTCTGTGGCGGTCTGTGGGGGTCTGTGGCGGTCTGTGGGGGTCTGTGGGGGTCTGTGGCGGTCTGTGGCGGTATGGGGCGGTCTGTGGCGGTCTGTGGGGGTCTGTGGGGGTCTGGGGCGGTCTGTGGCGCTCTGTGGCGGTCTGTGGCGGTCTGTGGCGGTCTGTGGCGGTCTGTGGAGGTCTGTGGGGGTCTGTGGGGGTCTGTGGCGCTCTGTGGCGGTCTGTGGCGGTATGGGGCGGTCTGTGGCGATCTGTGGCGGTCTGTGGCGGTCTGTGGCGGTCTGTGGCGATCTGTGGAGCTCTGTGGCGCTCTGTGTGTCGCTCTGTGGCGGTCTGGGGCGGTCTGTGGCGATCTGTGGCGCTCTGTGTGTCGCTCTGTCGCGCTCTGTGTGTCGCTCTGTGTCGCTCTGTGGCTGTCTGTGGACAGGATGGTGATGGCGAGTGCAAGCTTGGGGCGCGCTTGGTTGCATGTGCTCCGGTTTCCGTGTGACATAATGGGGCGTCGTCAATCGAGAGTTGATTGATCGATCCCCTCCACTCTCCACCCCCCCTCCACCCCAATAATCTCACTCTCTTTGCTTGTCTTTCAATAAATGGTTTATATGTATTGATGCAGATTGAAGTGGAAGAATACATGTTGTCATTCGAGGAGGCTTTAACATCATCGTGTTTGATTCACAATTAATTTCGATTGCCAGAATTATGACCACTAACAATTTGTGTTGGCCTTGAGGGTGGCGATGTGTGTGTCCTCCCTGCTTATCCATCCCCTTTGGAACGCGCAAGCATTACAACAATTATCATTCGTGTGTGAGTGTGTGCGTTTGCGTGTGCGTGTGTGCGTGTGTGGATTCTCAAAGTGCTCGTTTGTGTTCCTCTTTTTGTGTGCGTGAGTGTGGGGGGGGGGGGGGGGGGTAGAATAAGTAAAACATTAAGTGTGCGTGTGTGCGTGTGTGCCTATGTGTTTGTGTGTGTGTGTGTGTAGTTAGTGTTGCATTTCTGTGTCCTCATCCAATGGCCACCCATTTAGAAGCCAATGGGCGACATCTCTAGTAGTCGATCGGGTCCCAGACCCTCTTCACGCTCCTGCAGTTCCTCGTCCTGCAGTAGCAAGCCATCGATGGCAGTTCCGTCCTGGAACAGCTTTAGCACCTCATCGTTGGTCTGCGAGGCATCACCAGCGGCGTTGCCAGCGACGGCGGCATCCTCGTCGTCGGCAGCGGCAGCGGCGGCGGCGGCGGCGGCGGCGGCGGCGGCGGCGGCGGCGGCGGCGGCGGCGGCGGCAGACTTGCGACCACGCAAACTCTTGAATATGCCCATCTCACGTAGCTTGGCCCACATGGCAGTTGTGGTGTAGGCGGTGGCAGCGGCCACCGTCAGCCAGGGGCTGGCCATCATCAGAGCGGCTCCGGCCGTGGTCGTGCCCTTGGCCGATCCAGATCCGGCTCCATCACCTCCATCGCCTCCAGCGGGTGATTCGTCAGAAGACATGTCAAACTAAAGAAAGGAACCAACAAATAAATATTATAAATATTTTTTAATTTTTTTCTTTTTTTTTTTTTTACTTACAAGTTTTGTTGCTCTTGCTTAAACCTTAAATACTTCTACTGTTTTGTTGTTCACAGTTCGGCTGCTATCAGTGGAATGAAAATTCTGGGCTGGGTACCCGAGGGGACGTTGGGATTCGATTTAAAGGCCTGCTATATTCGCCCCAAAAACTGTGAAAGCAGTCAAGTACGATGGGGCAAATCGGTTTCGAGCGAACCCAGATGCCAGGCACCATTTCTGGCCCACTGTGCAGGGGAAAAAGGCCAACTGAGTTTCAGAAAATTATTGAAATTTAGTAAAGATGAAGGCAAGGGCAAGGCACACGCACTCACACACACACACACAAATGTGATCTATCTGTCTCGTGTGTGTGATTTATATTTCATAAGTTGATGAATTTTGTAACAAGCTGTCACATTTGCCATCTGCAAGAGTGCTCGTCTGTGGCAACCACAGCAGCATACCAAAGACCCCTGCCCCTGCCCCTGCCGCTGCCCCTGCCTCGTGCGACAAATGACACAAAGCAAACAAATGCAATTTGCATTTGCATTTGGATTTGCATTTCCAGCCATGTGTGTGTGAGTGCACATATCTTGGCTTGAACAAATGTGTACCCCTGACGGACAGTGTTAATTTACTGCGCACACATTTCAGCAGCTCTGGGAGTAGATATATTTCGATAGATCGCCGCTGTTCGGGTTAGCAGGGCTTTAACAGGGCAACAACAGGGCGCTGTTAGCAGCCCAAGCTAACAGCCTGTTATCGCTGCTCGGTTAACAGCTCTGCTCTTGCTCTCTGGGTTCTGCTCGCTCTTACGATCCACACGCCGCTCACCGTTGCGTGGCTCGTAAGCTAGTTTGAGTTGCATTCCACCCTCAGCTACAAGCTGCCGTTAGACACCAATAACATACGAAAATATAACCCTAAAGTGTCTTTTTCCCCTTCGGAGCCTCATAGCACCGTTTCGATCTGCCTCCTACTGCCGAAAGCCTCCTAAAGGGCAACAACAGGGCGCTGTAAGCAGCCCAAGCTAACAGCCTGTTATCGCTGCTCTGCTCTGCTCTCGCTCTCGTTCTCTGGGTTCTGCTCGCTCTTACGATCCACACGCCGCTCACCGTTGCGTGGCTCGTAGGCTAGTTTGAGTTGCATTCCACCCTCAGCTACAAGCCGCCGTTAGACACCAATAACATACGAAAATATAACCCTAAAGTGTCTTTTTCCCCTTCGGAGCCTCATAGCACCGTTTCGATCTGCCTTCTACTGCCTAAAGTCTCCTAAAGGGCAACAACAGGGCGCTGTTAGCAGCCCAAGCTAACAGCCTGTTATCGCTGTTCGGTTAACAGCTCTGCTCTCGCTCTCTGGGTTCTGCTCGCTCTTACGATCCACACACCGCTCACCGTTGCGTGGCTCGTAAGCTAGTTTGAGTTGCGATCCACCCTCAGCTACAAGCCGCCGTTAGACACCAATAACATACGAAAATATAACCCTAAAGTGTCTTTTTCCTCCTTCGAAGCCTCATAGCACCGTTTCGATCTGCCTCCTACTGCCTAAAGCCTCCTAAAGCCCCTGTCCCATAAGCTCCAGCATGTTTCCCCATCGGTTGGTTCCGCCTGTCAGAGTTTGCGGCTCCACTGCGCCTTGTGATTTCGATGTCACAGACATTTCATTTGCAACGTGCAACATCCCAGCAGAGTCCCTCTTGCAACCTGCCAGAGCTGGATATTTTGATCGATGTGCCCCATCACAGGTTTGAAAAAAGGCTTTCAATTATGGTTTTGCCTGTCAGTGACGTCAGAGGCTAGCCGAACATTTGACAGAATTTTTTGCAAATTCCGATAGTTTTTTCGGGGGTTTATTTTTTGAGGAGGAGAGATGCGATGGGGGGGATTCCTTGACTATGGTTAGGTACTTCCTTTATTTTTAGAATTTAATATTTTGAGGCAAACAATGAGGGATACTCGGGGATGACTGCTTGCGGAAGTCGCCGCGGATGTCGAGAGTTTAAATGGGGGGGGGGGGGTACGCCCCTCACCCCCTTGGCCAAAAGTAGGCTACACCAGTCAACACGCGCTTTGTTTTATTTCTGCCTCCATTTTGCCTGCACTTTTTTGGAAGCATTTTATTGTTGCATAAAGTTTCCGATTGCACAATGAAAGTAGGCCCCCCCCAGGCCCAGTAAAAGTTTGTGGCCACGCCCCGAAAGTTTTCAGTTTCCAGTTGCAAAATGAATTAAAACCTGGCAACCGAAAGGGAAGCCCCCAACCCCAACCCCCTGGCACGGTTTGTCCACCTCCCAACTTATAGACAGTACGATTTATGCCAGTGCCCATGTTTTTGGTGATTTTTGTAGCCATCTAATGCCACTATATCATCAAATATTTATTTTATTTGCTTGCCAGCACGCACCTAACCATCGGAATGGATTGTAGACTCTGTGGTAGACTGTTGCCTTGAAGGCCCCATAAATCTTTTTATGATTCTCGCTGCTACACCAGAAATGACTTGATTCGTCCTTTGGCCTGTGACGGCGACTCCAATGATTGTGACGCATACAAATTTCAATGTGTTTGCCACTAATACACCCTTCATACCCATTGATTTTCGCCTGAAAATGTCGCTGGGTTTGCATTTTTTGCGATTGGTGGCTTCTATCCCAGGGTATCCTCTGGTTCGAGCCTTGCTTTGGGCTTGGCTTTCCCAGAAATTTTCGACAAACATTTCGCGGCGGCACGCAACGCCATTTTGGCGACGAATGCCATGAAAATGGAAAATGGCCCAAGCACGCGACGCGACGTCCCCGACTGGCAAAAAAAAAATACACACAAAAAACAAAAGCCATGATTGTAGGGCAAAGCCTGTGCCCCACCGTGGCGCCAACTGGGGGCGGTGGGTGGAGCGCCACAGTTGGTTTGGGTACGGCATAAGCCAGGCGCCAGCAAAGTTGTAAAATCGGCAAATGGCATATAAAAATCGTTGGGTTTTTGTTGTCCTCGAAGCATCCAGAGAGTCGCCAGCCAGACTCGGAGTCGGTTTTGCCTCGCCACTGAAAGTGCAGTGAAACTGGCGGCAGGGCCCAGCATTTTGGTTGATTACTTGAGAACATCAACCAAATCACAGCTCGAAGCAGTGCTTAATGAGCGCACAACAACAGGAAGTTCCTTGGGAGAAAAAACCCCATATAAAGCGGATAAATTTGATTGTTATATCCGGGGCATGGGAATATAGTAGTGCCAGCGATTACTATCGGAGGGTTATCGAGGGTTACGATGAGTAGCGGCCATGGCTATTGGTCCTGGGTCCTCAGAAAGATCTTTGCCTCTTTGCCTGGCTCTCTATAAATACCTCTTTCCCCTTATCGTCCGTCCGTCGTCCTTTGTCCCTCGTTTATCAGGGCTTTAACGAGGTCCTTTTAAAGTATTACCTTAATGGGGTGCCATAAAAGAGTCCTGTAATTAAGGTCAACGTGTGACAAAATGTTTTCATTTCCGCCTCTCTCTAATTTGTTGGTATTTTCCCGTATTTTTTCGGCTAAAAAGTTGTATGACATCAGGCAGAAATCATTGCACACCTGGAGAGGGGCGAGGGGCGAGGGGGGGTGCCCACACAATGCCAATTAACGCGTCATTGATGTCCGTGTCCGGCCAGGTCCTTGCATGAGGCAGAGCATTAGTGTCACCGGCATTCGGCCATCAGTCAACACCAAAGGACGCGCAGCCCTTATTTTAATTGAAATTAGCTGGTTAGCGAGACTTGGGTGCCGGAGACACACGGCTTAAAGGGACGATGTGCGATGACGAATGTCCGCCACCATCCGCAGTCAGAGAGGAAACTCGAGCACATCGAGAGCCCGCCCGAGGGCCCCCAACGACACAAGGTATTGAAAAATGAAAAAGGAAGGAATGCGGGCACACGCTTGGCTGTGAGCTGTGGCAAGCCATCATCTACCCAAAGCCTCAACTTAATCCCAGAGCTTTGGCATTGCTTTGGATCACAGGCACTACACATGCAACAACAGCCAGAGCCAGAGCTCCAGCTCCAGCTTGAGCTCCAGCAGATGCAGAGGTGAATGCAGAGGTGGATGTGGATGTGGATGATGATGATGATGGCGGTGAAGAACGTTGACAATGACGCCATTGAAAGCACTTTTCAAGGCATTATGTGGCTGAAGAAGGACCTGAATCTATGGCTGAGATTGAGGCAGGGTCCTGGGACTGGGTTGCCGCTGAAGGCGGACAAGAGTTTTCGGTTTTGGCAATCAAAAAGTCATCAAATATGAATTTTACGCTATAATTTTTCACCTGCACGAGGGGGGATGATGTTTCTCAGCCATTTTTATGGCTTTTTCCTTGGCCTGTGCTCGGGTTTCCGCCCTTTTGGCACGTCTTTCAACTCAATTGCACTTTTGTGCAGCCCCCCTCCCCCCGTCCGCCCCCCTCTACCCCCCGTGGCGACCGTTTGTGTGCCTCATGTGGCAGACACATTTGAATTGATGGAAGCGTGTGTCTCCCGTGTCGCAAAATATTCAATTCAATGTGCCAAGAAGCTCGGCAAATACTGATTGAATGCGATTCAGACGCCACAGAAAATAGTGAAAAAAATATCTCATGGATTGCACAGATACACATGGATTCTTAAGTGCTTTAGGTTCGCAGGAAGGTTGAAGGCTTTCTTGCTTTAATTTCTGTTGGCCACTCGATGGATGGCTGCTGCGCTGTTTTGGCCAGAAATTAAATTAAAGTTTATGCAAGCGTAACGGCAGTCGGCAAAAATCATTTGCCACAAAATCCACTAAAACCCAATTTTGTGCCAACAAAATAAAATGAAACACGCACAAGAGGCAGCCATGAGGCATGAGGCATGAAGTGGCAACAAAGCCATGGCCAGAGTCCCAAAGAATTCTGTGCTGGCATGTGTAGAGCGATGCACCAAGCCAAGACGCAAGAACAACGTGAATCTGCCTCAAGACGATGGATGGATGGATGGCTGGGTGGCACAGCGTGTGGCATGGGGATTCTTGTGGCTGCAACGTAGATAAGTAAAAGTTTCGCTCAGTTCCCGAGTTCCTGGCTTGAAGTTGTTGCAGCGAGGGGGGGGGGGGGGGGGGGGGGGGACCGAGAGAAATCATGTCATTTGGCAGGCAGCACCGCAACATTTTGCCGCTTTCAATGTTAGCCAAACTGTCAGACGATGTTGTCAGCCGCTCCTCCCACGTCTGTCATCCCGTCATCCCGTCATCCCCACACGCTCTCTGACAGCAGGCGACAGCAGACAGTAGCTACTGCAGACAGGAGGCGAGGCAGGAGTGCATTCAAATTCGCTCGATTTGATCGGGGAAACGATCTGTCACGCTGATCCCTCGCTGGAACAATGGATAAGTCACCCTTTAATCAAGATTCGATGCACAGCCCTGCAGCGGCAGGGCCTGGCCAGTGACGAGCGGACCGATGGCATCTCTGGAGCTGTTCGGCATGTCCGGTGGGATCCTGTGGCCCGAACAGGTGCTGCCCGAGCAGGTGATAGACTCGTCCCTGTGGCGGGCCCGGAGGCCCGTCAAGTGTCCCTTGGGGTACAGCTGGACGAGCCGGGAGAAGTTCAAGTGCTCGCGCAGGAAGTACCAAGCGGTCCAGGAGCCGGAAGTCCTAAGAAAAGTTTTTGGATGGTTTTTACGCACCACGACGAAGAAACCAATCACCCCCTGGATGCCGTGGGACGATTCGGTGGAAAAATCTAAAACATCAAAGTGGACAAAGCCAAAGTGGACGACCCCAAGCCTGCCCGAGGGGATTGAAGGCAAAAATCCGGAGGTCAGACAAGCTCAAAACTACGAAGTAGCCGAGCTACAACCACCGGAAATGCCCAGCGGAGGTGAAGGCGTCGACGAACATCCGGCAATGCCTGGCGGAGGGCTAGAAGACCTTAGAAAAAGAGATGCACCCGTAAAGAGCGGTACAGGCAGCCGTAGACTGGTCAAAGCTCCGACTTTGAAGGAGAGCCAACCAGAGAGCGACGACGAAAGCGACGAGAAGAGTAGAGGCGCAAGGCCAAAGAGAAGGCAACGAGGCAAGAAGGTTGGCTAGGTATTGATCGGCCCTGGGACAGGGGATCAGCCTCCAAGGCCTGCTGCTGGTAGAAGACCCTGGTAGGGGATTAAAACTGTAGCCAATGGATTACTAAATGGTTTAATGGCAAAAAAGTGGCTCAAATTGGAATAATACGTGTATTTCCAAGGGTTTTTTCAGGGTTTATCGAATGGCAATCGATTACACAATCGTTGCATCGCACTTTCACTACATACTCCCCCCCTTGGACGAAGCATCGGATGACGGATGCCCCCTCATCCCCCCCCCCCCCCCCCCCCCCCTCGGTAATGCGAGATGCCTGTGTGCGCATTTTTTCAAATAATTAAATGCTTAAAAGAGCAGACCAGAGAGAAAGAGAGAGAGAAAGTAGCCAACTACAAAGATACACTGAGATGACCAAAGGGCAACCTCTAGCAATGGAGGCGGAAGATATAGATCCCAGGGTGCCTAAACTTCGGTTTCGAGGAAATTGTAAATGGAGCTGACGAGACGGGAGACGACTGATGAAAGTCACTCAATTCGGTGGCAACTTGAAGCCAACAAAAAAAAGGTAAAAGATAAAAAGGCAGCCCGGCACAGATAAACCATTATCAAAAGTTGCACCCCCGTCTGATTATCTTTCCAAGTCAGGAGTTGCTGCAAGGCGACACTTTGAGTGCACTCAGTTTCCGTGCGACAGACTGTGGCACACAACAAACAAACGGCGAACGGCAAACGGCACAAGACACAGAGAAAGATACAACACAAGCAAACAAAAAGGAAGGTGAAACGAGATGAAGGACTCTGCCAGTCCTTCAGGTGTCAGACTCCGCCTCGGCTTTTGATCTCTGTCTCTGTCGTTACGAAACTTGCCACCGACTTGGCCCACCCACCGTGCCTGAAATGGGCAAAGTTTTTACAGCGTACTGTATCTGTATCTGTATCTGTGCCTACATTAGCTGCTTAATTGGTCACACTTTAATCGAGACCAGATCGGAGACCAGAACGGACCTGCAGCTGCAATGTCTGCCAGGTGGCCGAAGCGACATGAGCGGGACATTGGGCTTACCGTTGGTATCTCTTGTGGGTTGCCTTGTGGGCATCTTCGGGCCCGAGATGGTGGGGCCGGCGCGGCACGAATGCCCCTGGGGCTTCCACTGGCTCAATCCGTACCAGAAGGACCAGTGCGTGCGGATGGCGTACAAGCCGCGACAGCACCCGGACACAATCCGCAAGGAGTTTGGTTGGTTTCTGCCCGAAAAAACGAGCGCGCCCAAGCCCCCGACTACGCCCCGGTATCCAGGCGGCCAAATGCCGTGGGAAGACGACGTGATACCGGTGGGACCGACACCTTTTCCACTTGCACCAACCTTTAAGCCTGATTCCGAACCCGATATCGGGATCGATACCCCTGATGAGGAGGAAACCTCAGAACCGGATGTGAATGCGACAAAAACAACAGATGGACCAGGCACGACCGCACCACCACCAGGTGGGACCACACTGCCAGCAGAGGGAGGAGGCAAGCCTCCAGAGGGAGGAGGCAAGCCGCCAGAGGGAGGAGACAAGCCCCCAGAGGGAGGAGACAAGCCCCCAGAGGGAGGAGACAAGCCCCCAGAGGGAGGAGACAAGCCCCCAGAGGGAGGAGATACACCTCCAGAGGGCGAAGACGCACCAGCAGAGGGTGGAGACGCACCAGCAGAGGGTGGAGACGCACCAGCAGAGGGTGGAGACGCACCAGCAGAGGGGGAGGCACCTGCAGAAGGTGGAGACGCACCTGCGGAGGGGGAGGCACCTGCAGAAGGTGGAGACGCACCTGCGGAAGGCGGAGACGCCCCTGCAGAAGGCGGAGACGCACCAGCAGAAGGCGCCGGAGAAGGAAGAACCGCCCCCAAAAAATCGCAGTCCCACCCAAAGTCCGATCAGCGTCAAGCGAACCCAGTGCCGGCCGTGGAATGGCACCCCTGGAGCTGGTCGAAACCAAAGATCGGCAAAAAGGCCCCATCGAAAGTTGCGCCCAAGGGAAAAATCGTAAAACCTAAGAAACCGAGGACCCCCCCAAAGGCTCCTGGCTCAAAGAAACCCAAGACCATCCCCAAGGCCACCACCAAGGTCGTGTCGTCGAGCACAAAGAAACCCAGGAAAGCGCCCAAGGCTCCAAGCAAGGCCCAGCCGAAACGCGAGAGCCTAAAGATCGCCGAAGAATTTCCGCTTTGGAGCTGGAATTCGTAGGCGAAGGTCGTGCTGGATCGGAATTAGATTAGAGCATGGCTAATGCCTTCTTGATAGCCGAAACTGTAGATAAGAGCCCCATTGAAACTGTACCAAAATGGCTTTCATTTCCTCCGAAATCCGTGAAAATTAGTTTCATTCGAATGGAGTCGTTGTCGAACGTGTCCTACTCGATGGTGGGGTCCACCACGCCCATGTCGCACTGGCCTGTGGAGTCCACCACGGCCATGTCGCACTGGCCTGTGGAGTCCACCACGGCCATGATCCACTCGCCTGTGGAATCCGATTGGGACGGCTCCTACTCGTTTGTAGACACATCCGAGTGGATACCCTGCGAAGAGGGATTCGCCTGGAGTGTGGAAATGGGCGAGTGCCAGCCGGTGGTGGAGCCACGCAGCTATAGGACCTGCCCCTGGGGCTACAAGATGAATGCCCGGTACAAGCAGTGCATGCGCGTCAAGTACCACGGCAAGCAGCAGTGGGGCACCATACGCAAGTGGTGGCACAGTCTCTTAAATCCACCGGTGCCGAGGAAGCCGCCACGGAAGATACCGCCCAGCAAGGCCACCACCGCGTACACCGGCGAATGGTGGGGCTACAATAGGGGCTACGGCAAGGATGTGCCACGCCCCTGATGGGAAGTAGGACCAATAAAGAATGGAAGCTCGGTCTCCGGTCTGTGAAGATTTCGTCTTTTATTTCCTATCCCCCTTCTCTACCCTCCCCTGTAGGCGACGCGTTCGCATTGGGTGTACTTGCTGTTGTACTTGTAGCCCACGGGGCAGCTCGTCTCCTTCGTCCAGGCCTGGGCTATCATTCCGAAGAGGCACAGAACGATGATTAGGGGTATATTCTGGAACATGGCTTCGAGCGAACTGTGATCTACGGAAGGTGGCACAAGCGGAACCGAAAGGTCTACAGAAATCGATTTCAGGGTTTGGGGGGGGCGGGGGGCCTTACTTTACTTCCCTGCCTTGTAGGCAATGCGTTCGCACTGGGAGAATCTGTTGTATTTGAAGCCATGCGGGCAGCTCGCTTGCTTCGGTCGTTTCATGGACACGCAGCTCATGGTTGCTTTGTTGTAGACCATATTCTTGCCACACTCCAGATAGAAGGAGTCCTGCCCCAACGCCAGAGAGCAAAGCATACCGAGGGCGCACAGTAAGATGGTCAGATTCATGGCTTCCAACGGGCTCTCTCTGGAGAGCTCTTACCTCTTACCCAAGCGGAACCAACACTAGTTCTTTAAGCTCTTTAAATATACAATCTGTAGACGTATCCAACTAATTCTCCTCCCCCCCCCACCACCACCAAATTTTCTTCGTTTCAGGTACGTTCGCTTCGCTGATTTGTCGCCAAATGAGGAGAGGAGGACCCTGGCCAAAACAAATGTCACGTGAGCCACACACACACACACACACACACACACACAGAGAGAACACTTGTTTCCGCTTACACCTCGCCACGAGTTTTTGTTTTGCTGATTTGGCAAGCATTTTTTTGTTTTGTTGGCGCCATGAAGGAGGCGAAAGGGAAGGGTATCCAGAGGATGGCTTCCTTCTTGGTTACTTTTTTTTTGCTGCACTCGATCCGTGATTTTGAAGGCCGAAATCACGTAAGCCCAGCCCCTGCCGTCTATGCTTTGCTCTGATTACAAAAACCCAGCAACAGCAGCAACTTCGCATGCCACATCCTGTCGCCAACTTTGTTTTAAGTGAAAATTGAGCCACTGTCCAAAGGCTTTTTATTCGGTGATTGCTGGAATGGCCCTCAGTCAAAGCAAACCAAGAGTCTACGTGACACCAAGTGAATGGAAGAGCGGAAAAACAGTGGGCTTCCTGCCCGCCCCCGAGAGGATGAACCGTCGAAAGGCCACGCCCTAAAACACGCTGTTTATTGAGCAGATCTCACGAGTAGACATTGTCTAAAGACTGGCAAAAGCGACCTTCAATGGACTTAATCCTTGCTGGTCTGATCACCACTGGAACCGGAACTGGAACTGCAGCTGCAGACTTTCTCTGTTTGGACTTCCTGCTGAACTTTCACCGGAGCCTGCTCGTCGGATCCTCGCGGCGGATGCACCTCGCGGCACACGTTGCAAACGGACCTAGAGCCAGCCTCGTGGTCTTTCCTGAACTGAGGATTGAGGTACCAGACCTTCGCCTTCGTATAGGCCCTTTTTCCTTCGGGCGGCATGCGACAAATGCGTCGCAGGAGGCTTGAACTGAGGACTTGCCCTGGCTTCCTGCCTTGGATCCTCTTGCTCGACCTTCGCGATGGGGTGGCAGGGGCATCCACCTGGATATCTCTAGTCCGTCAGTATGCCATCGATTGTTGCATGCTACTCACCCGTTTCCTAGTGCCGCTTCTGGTCATGAGTTAATTTTTCAAAGCCCCAAAAAATTTTGAAAATTAAAAAAATTAAATAAAAAAAAACAACTTAAATTTTTTACGGTACTTTTTAGGGAAATATCTACAATAAATAGATTTTCACGAGGCTCAAAAGAATAAATACTGTGGAATAAATAGAAAATCTCAAGGCCTAGTCGATCTACAAATTTCAGGTTTCTTGATTCTTAAATTGTAAAAAAAAATGTCCCGTTACACTATAAAGCCCGGTACACCGAGAGAAAAAAAAACACTGAGATTCGATTGGTTTCAGGGGAGATAATTTATAGCAATATTTTTGAAAGGAGCGTGGAACTTTTTTAAAGTACTTTAAAAATAATATGCAAATATAAATAAATAAATATATAAAATATAAATATAAATTAATTTTTTATTTAATTTAAATATTTTTATATTTTGATTATAAATATTTATATTTATTTTTAAATGTTTTATATTTTGATTATTAAAAAGGGGATATAATTTATAGCAACGAGAGTGACATTTGTTTAATGTACTTTAAAACTAAATAGGAAAATATTTTATTTAAAAATTTTCCCTATTTCAAATAAATCAACTTCATAATAAAATTAATTTTTTGTATACATATTTTGATTAAAAATATTTCCAGCAAATTTAACATATTGTATTTATTTTAAAGTTTTTTATATTTTGATTATAAAAATAAAAGACTTTTTAATACATTTACATACATACATATGTATTTCTTTATTTTTTTTATATACATATATTTTTGTATTTTTTTATGTATTTATTTATTTATTTGTTACTTATTTATTTTGTTATGTATTTACTTATGTTTTTTAAATTTATTTTTGTTTAATGTATTTATTTATCTATTTAATTTCTCTATGCTTTTATTCAAAAACCGAGTATTTATTGTAAAATATGGTCGTATCTCTTTTTGCTGTGCCATTTTTCTCTCAGTGTAGGCACTCAATATTCGATTGCAATATCGCTCCACACAAAAGTAGATCCAATCCATCTTGATTGATTCTGCACTCTGGATCTGATCGTATCTTCGTGATGGCGGATGACACGGAGTATCCCGACCTGAGACTCCCGGCTGTTGACAACACTTTTTGGGGGGCCCAAAGGCGCGGTCTTAAGTGGTATCTCAGTTGCAACTTCCCTCCTCCCCCTCTGACCCCCACCCTACTCTTATTGACTTTGAAGCTGTTTACTTTTGCCAGGCGCTGTTTGACTTTGAGCTTGCAGCAGTCCTGGCCCGTACAGGGGTGTGGCATCAGCTGGGAAGGACGAAAGAGGGGGAGGGGGGGAAATGTTTTATGCTGTGCACGGTGGAAATTCACATAATTGCAGTTGAAACTCGACAAACAACAGTAGCGGAGCAGAGCGGAGCAGAGCAGAGCGTAAATAGAAATCGCAGAGTCAACAGAAAAATCGGTAGAGGGAAAAATGGAAAGGAATCCTCCTGGCAAAAAAGGAAAATAAAAATAAAAATAAAACCTATGAAGGAAGGAGTGCAATCGGATGGCGGACGATGGAATGGAGTCGCCACAACAACGAAAACAAACAAACAAACTAACCTTTGACCCAGGATGGCCATCGCCATCGCCATCGCTGTCGTTGCTGTTGCTGCTGCTGTCGTCCACTTCAGGTGCGCCAAGTAATTGCAACTGAAACTGAAACTTGGCCAAGTTGCCAGCAAAACGGATTGCAACTAAAATTGGAGCCGAAGCTGGCAGCAGGAAGGAGCAGGGGGGTAGCAGGAAGGAGCAGGGGGTAGCAGGGGGTAGCAGCATGCAGGACATGCAGCGAGTGCGACACAAAAGCGTTTCAATGCAGGTCGTTGCGGCTAAATTAAAAGAAATCAACGCAGGTTGATCGGCGGCAGGGGCAGTGGCTGCCAGGGGCCGCCAGGGTTGCCAACGTAAAGCAAAGATAATGAACAGGACAAAGCCAAAGCGTGCAACGGAAAGACACACCAGCAGCAGCCGCGTCCAGTCCGCTGTTGTTTTTAATTAAAATCTTTAAGCTTCTGTTGATTATTAATTATAATGCCACGGAAACTGAGCCACCCTCGCGCGGGGCAGGTCAAGGAAAGTGTCTATTTCTGTAACTGAAAGTCGTCAAATGGCCTTCAAAAGTGTACAAAGAACGGACTCCAGCGAACCATTAAGCCATTCCAATTTTGTGTGGAAACCGGGGCCATTCATCGATTGAGTGTTGGCCAAGTTGGGGGCAAAGGAATGGTGCTACAAGGCCCTTATAGGGACTGGCCCACAAAACGGGGCTTTTGAAACAAACAAAAACCTTTTTTTAGACATATTTTGATCCAGAAATGAAATATTTGACCCCCCAGAGAGGTTTCCTTTACCTCCCTAATGGGTGTCTCTTTTTCCACAAGAAAAACAGGTTAATATTAAGCCGCTTTTAAATGGGTGTGTTTCATCTAAAATTTTGTGTGTTTTTTGGACTAGAATTTGCAGCAAAATTTTCCAAAATGGAATTTCACTCAATTTGAAAAGATTTCTGTATATTTTAGGCCCGCAAGAACCTGTGGGCCAACTAATTTCATCAATTTGTCAAAAGAAACGGAAATACAGGGGCGGAGAGGCCAGCATCAACAAGCCAAAATCCAAACATAAATAAATCGCCAAGTGTCCGCCGGATAGGCAAACAAACAAACAAACAACACACACAGACGGACGAACGGACGGACAGGCAAACAAACAAACAAACAAACAGTGGGACAACACCTGCCCCAGACTGTGCCCCCTGGCTGCTGGCTGCCTCTGCTGCTACTCTCTTAAGCTGCCAAATCCGACAATTAAATTATTGCATGACAAAACAGGCACCGCAAAATATTCAAAACTCGCCGAAAACAGGATGTAAACGGCAACGAGGACAACCACAAAAAGAAGTTGGAAAAACAAAGGCGGGGGGTGGGGGGGGAGAAGTGGGGAAAAACCTCAAAATACACAAACACAAACACCCCGCCCATACGCGAGGGGGTGTGGGGCAACAACAACTAATCAAACAACAACAGGGGGGGGGGGGGAACACAACACAAATTCATCTTTCAGTGTGGAAAAAAGTCACCCAATACGCCCACCCACACACCCCCACACCCACACCCAAAGAAAAAAAGAGAGGAAAAACTTTTGGCACAGCAAAAAGGAGCTCCCCCTCCGCCCAGCCGCCCCCTCCGTCCATCCATCCGCTGATAGAGCAGACAGCGCATATAGCTGGTGGCAATAATTTGAAATTCGATTACCATAACCAAGTACTCGGAAAACACAAACAGAGATCGCAGGCAGGACACAAACACACACACACACACGGCAGCAGGAGTACCCCTAACCAGCAGAAAAAACACAGGAAAGGAGACACTGAGAGGGGGGGAGAGGGAAGAGTGAGAGATGGCCTGTCCGCTGCCAGAGGCGAAAAACTGCAAATGGCGAAAACGTTCGCTAAAAGGTCGCCCACATCAGACTGGAAATCGCACGAAAAAAAACGGGAAAAAAACCCCAAAAAATGTTAAAAATATAGCTTAGATATGGCGACATTAGGACACCCTATAGACACACCCTCAGGACCCTAAAAAAGGGGGGAAACCAGGGGAAAATGATCCTATTCGAGGCAGGAGGGGATGTGCCCAGCCTCTGAAAAGAAAACGTTAATGGATCGGACATTCTATCTATCCCCTGGCCCTATACCCTTGCTGTACAGGGTATAAGCACGAGTGAAAAGATACTGCCAACACACACACACGGGCAAAAGAAACAAAAAAAAAAAAAGCGTGTGGCCAAAAAGCCAAAACGTGAATATATCAGAATTTTGAGCAAACAAGTCGGACCGACCGCACCGCTACAACAACAACAACAACAAGAAAATCCTTTGTGGATGCCAGCCAACTATGCGAGTGTGTGTGTGCAAGAAGAGGATATCCTTGCCAGAGAAGACAGAGAAAGAGTGACTGAGTCCTCAAGAAAAAAACTGTCCATGGTCCATGGAGTATCTAGTCGTGGCCGTCACAGGTTTGAGAAAAAAACAAGGGGGTAGCCCTTCCTTCTACCAAAAATATTAAGGAATATGTAGTTGAAATGGATCCTGATTCTAGAACCAGGCACTGAGGCTTCTCCACTAAGCCCTGCTGGCACTCAGTAGGAAGCATCTCTAAAGCAAGACTTTATCGGCCTCTTTCTTTCATGAAAATGGTACCATTAGATGTGGAGGCAGATGACGCCTTGATTCGATGGACTGAGAGGTGGCTGGTGGACTGAGAGCTGGGACTGTGTTAGTGGCAGGAGGAGCTCAACTTTCGAGCAAAGTTGCCTTCCAAGGCAAACAAATACCAATGTCCCAGGATGCCACAATCCCAAGGTGTCATATCATGGACTATTTGCTCTATTTCCTCGCAAATCCTGGCCAGACTGGAGGGGTAGAAAAGCCTATTTTTTGTTCGGAAATGATTTCAGAAGAAAGCCAAGCACAACTTTCCACTTAGGTGAAGTCTTGCCATGTCGAATGGCTAGTTAAAACATTCATTGATTCATGGGCAACAGTACTAGCCTTTGAGTGTCTCACAGGATGATTCTGCACACAGGATAATAGTCGTATTAAGTACTATACATGCCCCGTTTGTGAAGTCCTGGGCACGCCCTTGTAGGAAACATTTACTGTAGCCAAATCATGTATTAAGAATCGATTTCCCGATCGCACCTGCCACATGCCACTGCCATTCGCGGCGCCCCGCCGTCAGACCAATTTCAATTACAGCCAATTAGGCGAGAAAGCGGCTTCAGACAAAGAAAGAACTTCACTTCACGAATTGCAACAAAAAGCCAGAAGATGCCACACACACACACACACACATGGAAGACTGAGTTGCACCTTAAGCAGGGAAAACTTTTCAACTTGCGAGTCTACGTCTCCGCTTGCTCCTCCCCCGCCATCGAATGCGCCGAAAATGTTAAAACAAACAAACAAATAAATTAGTGTTCAATCAGCGTAATTTCTTCGACTCTGCAGTCAGACTGCCATGCCTCGTGCCGCGTGCCGCGTGCCCCCTGGCAGCCCTTTGTCTCTGGGGTTTCGTGGTGCGGCTTGCAGCAGGGACTGTTGTGGGTGGGAGAACTTTAAGCAGGGGTTTGGGGGGGGTGTGGGCAGGAGAAGTGAGAAGGAATAAAGTATTAGGTGGTGGCAGGAGGCAGGAGGAGGTGCCAACAATCGAAATTATCGGTAATTTGCTTAATTTGAATTCGAAAGACAACGAAATAGAAGGTGCAAGTCAGGGTCTGGTTATGTCTAGAGAGACCTACGTAAAAGGTGAACGGATTACCATGAATAGTACTTCAATTAGTTCTGTCTTATTTCATCATAATTTTCCTTGTTTAATGCTCTTGATAAATTTCCCAACTTCTTATTCGTTGAAAGTGGGAACACTTTGGCCTGAGTCCAGTCCAGGCGCTCTCTTCCACTCAAGAGCAAACCCGCGAGCAAACCGCTCAATGTTTGAGAGAGTTTAGGGGGGCCCACCATGTGAGTCAACCTCTGACAGCACCCACGCATTGCCTCTCTCTCTCTCTCTCTCTCTCTCTCCATTGGGGATCCCAGCTGTTGGCGCTCTTTGCAAAGAGAGCCGACGCCGCCGCTGACTCAGAAGATGGCAACGTCATCGTCGCTGTCGCCGTTGCCGCCGCTGGATGGATGATCTGATCTGGAATTCTGATCTTTCCCGCTCTCCCAGCACTCCCACTCTCTTGGCCTGGGCTGTGTAACTGGAAACTGGTTTCTCTGCCGCTGCTTTTTTGGCCACGGATCTACGTGACTTTTGCTTTATTTATGCCAATTTACGAGCAAATGCATTAGCCGGTCTCTTGCCGATCGCGTGCTCCCGATGCGATGATCTTGTTCTTGGCATTCGCCGTTATTTCTAATTAGATTAGGGTGGGACTTCCCTGGTTCTACCTCTCTCTCCCTCTCTCTCTCCCACTCTCTATGTGTGTACTCATCTCACTCTCGCTCGCGGGGCCAAGTTCTTTGGATAGGAGCCAATCCCCAGGCCTGGCTTTTGTTTTCCCAAGATCTCTTTGTCTGAAAGCGACCTCCTTTTCCTTTTCTTTCAATGCTGCTTGCTGGCCACAAACACACCCTGCCGCAGCCCATGCCCCCTTCCCCCTTCCCACTTCCCCCTGCCCCTGCTGAAAGCCTTGAAACACGTTCTCTCTCTCTCGAATCGGATTGAAACGGAACGAAACCCTGGAGGAACAGGCGCAAAAGGTGTAGCAGAAACGAGAAGCAAACCCGTTTCCATGGGCCGGCTGGCTCCCCCAAAACGAGGGGTCCCCCAGCATCCAGCGATCACACACCCTCCCCCCCTCTACACCACACCACAGCATCCAAATCTCACTTCCAGTTCCAGTTCCAATTCCAATTCCAATTCCCAAACTTCTGCTTTGGTCAGCAGCAGCTGAGACGACGGCGTCTGCGCAACTTTTGATTTTGCCTGGAACCGGTTTCGGTCCGCCAGATCGACAGACCGCCAGACCGACAGACCGTCGCTTTGTACTAGTACGAGTGCGAGTATCTTTCGGTTTGCATTTGTATCTGTATCTGAGGCAGACGCAAGCTGCCCACAAGGCTGAGGCAGCGTCTATAAATGTGTTGTTAAAGATGTTTTCAAGATGGTTCAGTGGGCGTCTTTGGTACAGAGAGAAAGATGTCATTCGGCGATAGCAGACATCCCAGCCAGCCATCCATCCATCCATCCGTCCATAAAGTTAAAGTCGTAGATATCTTTTATCGGAGTACTTACAGCACAGCAGCTCTTCGTTTGGATAATGACCTCTAGAAGGTCACTTTTGAGGGCCTGAGGGCCACCAACTGTAGAGTTTCCTGGCCAGGGCCTTGGGCAACATCCTCAAGAAGAAATATATTACTCGGAATACTTATTCCGAAATGTTTTTTATGCAAAAATTACAATGCAAACCTCCTAAAAGGTTTTCAATAAGATTACATTCATAAAGGCCACAAAATATTGCTTGTAATCCCATTTTTTGTGTTTAATGGATTGCCTCCACTCTTGAGGGGCACCTATCATTACGAACCTTTCACTTGCCCCAGAGGCAAGCACCGCACAGTGCCCCCCCTCCTTCGTTGAATGTGGTCTCGGATCACTCACGAAAACTCCGTTTTCGAATCGTTTATAAATAGTGCACACAAAAACAAACACACAGCGACTTCTAATATCTAATAATAGAGGGGGGGGGACTGGTCTGGAGTGGAATATATATAGAAACATTGCGGGGGCGTTTCTCGATCTCGTTTGATTGCTCTCTCTCTGTCTCTGGATTGCTTTCACATGTCTGCTGGTATTGCCTGCTGGTTCTCCTTCAGCTATCGTTGTTTTCCATTCACTTTTCATTCCGATTAACCCACACAGGAGTGTACAAACGATAGAAATTCTTTTTCTTTCCCCCTCCCATCCCTCCCCCCTTATGCGTACGACTTTCAGGGCCTCTGGTGCCTGTGTGGGGGGGGGCGGAGGTGTTGGACGCTGCCAAAAATCCAAAAAGAACGAAGCGGCAACAAATTTATGACACAGAAATGTCATGATGTATGCAGTATGCTCTCTATAAGCGACGGAGCGACACTTTAAAATGTCTATTTCGGTACGTTTTGGGCTGTGCAGTGCAGCCCCTCGAGCATTCGGTTATATGCAGATATAGATATGGATGAGATGCATTTACGTAAACGATTTGGGACATATTGAACACATTTGAAGGTGACTTTGACAAAGTTCCAATTCATAATTGTGCAAGTTTATTTTTGGGACGGAGAGCCTTGGGTTTTATTCACACAAGTACCAGAAATCCTTGGAAAGTATTGAAAAATACTTGAACTTTTCTTCAGTGTTGCCAAAGCCCTAAACGTCCATTACCCAACACTGGAGAATGTCATTTACTGTCATTGTGTTAGCAAGTCCGCATCAAATGGCAATAAAATTGATTTGCTTAAATTTGCACTAAAACAAGTCTCAGTTTCGGGCACGTTCCGCAACCTACGCCAAAAAGCCGTCCCGTCCCCGTGGCCAGTTAACCTTTTGGTACGCGTCATAGCCGGCGGCAGCAGCAGAAATCACTCAACTCAAGAAAACCAAGTGAGTGCTCTCTTAACACACCACCGCTCTTAGTTCGCTTGCTCTTCGTGGTTCACTTTCTCTCTTCGGGGCGCAAACACGAGGGCCAAACTCCAGCGAACGAACACAGCGGTAATAATCCAATAAGAGACCCCGTAGCGGCACAGCGGCAGAGCGACAGAGAGGGGAAATTTCTAGCATGAGTCAGGTATTTTTCAGACAGAGAGGGAGAGAGAGCCAAAGCACGCGCTCGCTCGCTCGTTTGCTCGTTTGCTCGTTGGCTCTCTTCGTTTTCGTTTCGTTTTCCTGCCGCTGCTTGTCGTTGCCTGTCGCTGAGGCCGTTGGTTGGGAGGAATTTACAGTTTGTCTGTTCCGAAGCGTCGAAGAGTGCAGTGTGCCGCAGCCAGAGTTCAAGATACAAGACACCAAAACCAGACAGCAAGCAGCGCGCATAGCCTATCGAACAATTTGTGCAAACGCCGCATTAAAACAGTCAACAAGAAAAAAGGGGAAAAATATAATACAAAAAAAATAATAATAATTACAACAAAAATTATAACAATTTCGAAAGCTGCAAAATCCGGCAATTGTGCAACATTCAAGAAAGCGCGCGCGTTTACCACCAAAAGGCAACGAAAAGAAGTCGATTGAAGTGCAAATTGAGTGCTGGAATATTTGTTTTCTTAAACGAATCCTAAATACAAATACAACGACACGCCGCGTGTGTGTTTGTGCCACCGCCGTCTCTACGCGTGTCGGTGTGCTGTGTGTGCGTGTGTGCCACTGTCAGATATCCTGAGCCAGTGTGTGTGTGACAGCAAATAGAGAGAAGGAACAGGAAAGAAGGCGACGGTACAAGGAAAGTCCCACGCAAAAAGCCTGCCTGCCCCATTGTTGTACCGGCATTTTAATGACGTCATGTCCAGCAGCTGCTTGCAACACTAAAAGCCACAACTTCAGCCACATCACATCTTCCAACTCGCGCGTGTTTCGTACAGCAGCAAACAAAATAAATTAACAAATACAATTTAACATACAACAAAAAAAAAATAAAAACGAAGAAAGAAAACGAAAACGCAAAGAAACAACAAACAGCCAACAACAATTCAAATACAGCAGCACAGCAACAACAACAACAACAACAACAACGACTCTCGTCGCATCATCAGCTGGAACTACCGAAAGGTGTTTATATACTAAAGATCTTCTCCGTTTTTTTCTGTTTTTACTGTTTTGTTTTGTTTTGTTTGGTTTGGTTTTCTCTCTGTTTCTTCTCTCCAAATTCGGCCATCGAGACTTGAGTCTTTCTTCCTACTTTTGTGGATTGTTTGTGTTTCCTGGTGTTTTGTGGGTTTTTATCGGGTTTTTTTTCACGGATATTCTGTTTTATAATGCCAAGAAAACGCACACTCAGAGAAAGTCAATTTAGTGTTGAGTAAAGAAAAAATTGTTAGGGAGTTAAAAAAAAAATTGCAATTCAATTTTTAAGAAATATAAAACAATGCAGAATTTTTGGAAAATATTACAGAAATGCAGCAAAATCTATTAAAACCCCCACTCAAATCTTGCTGCAATTCTGTAATATTTCCCAAAAATGTTTAGGTTTTTATAGATATTTTTAAGTAAATAAAATTAAATTTAGGATTTTGTGGACTTACCCAAGTATTAAATGTGATTTTCCAGCCATAAACTGAAAGGGAAAGAAGAGATTAATTTGTAATTCTCATAAATTCATCAATCAATCTTGAAATCAATCATATTTTCCGCAAATAGCTCAATTTAATAATTTAAATACCTCAATTTTCAACAAAAACCTGTTTTTGTCCGGAGATTTATTTCTTAACTACAAAACAAAATCCATTCCCTGAGTCATTAGGCAGATAAATCTCAAGGAATTTGTCATAAAAATTACTTTAAAATAAACATCAAAATACTTTCAAATAATTTTTGAGAGTGCCAAATAAATCGTTGATAGGATTTAATGCTAGGAAATTTTGTGAAATAAAATGTTTGTTCTATTAACTGTTTTATGCACAGAAACGCAATGAACCAAAAATCAATTAAAGCTTCGGGTCTAATGAACTGTTAAATAATAATGCAAAAATCAACCAAAATAATGTTCAATGAAAACGCAAAACCCAACAAAATGGTGTAAAATAATTTGGGGGAAAAAGAGGATTAAGACTTGCACAAATTGTGTTTAAAATTAATGCAAATTAAGCCTTTTTTTTCGTTCTAATGCAAGGTCTAGGCCATATGCCTTGTGCTGGTGCCATACAGTGCGGCTCATCACTGTACGCACAGTGGCTGCCATTCGATATCTGGAGCTGCTAATGGATCTGATTGGCATTCAATCGAATCAAACACGCAATCACATAATTAAATCGCCTTTTATTCGATAGCTTTTATTCGATTAAAACATGAACATACTGTACAGCGTAGACTGTATTCATCAGACATACAATTACATAGATTTTTGTTGCTGATTTTATGAAAAAGTCACGTTTTTTATGCGGTTTTGTTGTGTCTGGCCGCCCGTCCAGCCTCTAGACCCTCCCGTCCCAACGTTTTTACGAGTCTGCCATTAAATTTATGTGTATTTCTGGCTGTGCCTCCTCCATATGATTTCTGTTTCAGTTTCAGAACAGATTGTTATTATAGTTTTCGCGATTCGTTTCGTTTTCCTTTGGCTTCGAGATATGCAAATTGAATTAGCTTTGCTGAACAACAACAGCAGCGAAAAAGGCCAAGAAAAGTTGGGCCAACACCATCATCATCATCATCAGGTTGGGCAAAAGTGGCAAAGGTGTCTTAAATTCGAGTCAAAGAAATCGCATTGGAAAATGCCAAATGAATTGTGATTTGTGTCCATTTGTGCTCCACAAGTCATTCACTTTTTCAAACAAAAACCACTCAAAACTCCGACTGAAAATACACCACGAAAGGCAATGGGACTTGAGGACTTGGCATGACTAATCGATTCGATTTTTCGCCAAAAGTCATGCCGAAAACACAAAGCGCCAACACTGACAAATATGAGTGTAGTTTTTTTGTACTTTAAGCTCTCTTCAATGTACCTCAATAGGTCGTAAATACCGACACGACGATCGATTGTCTTTGGTTTGAAAGTCTGTGGGTCTGTGTTGGCTCAGACAGTCGCAATTTGACGCGAGATGACAGCCTCAAAAAGTGTCAGAGTTCAGCCAAAAGGTCTTCAAAGAGCAAGCGCAAACAAAACGAGAGTGAATGGTGTGGCTTTGGGGCCTACAGAGAGGGGGGAATAACTACTCGAAAATGGCATTTGGATACAAAAACTGAACACTAAATAGTGGCAATCGTTTCTCAACACTGAAAATACCATTTTCCAGGAAGAGGCTTTATGGCTTCTGGTTTATTTCTCGCTTTTTTTGATAAACATTTCGTTTCCTTTAGTTTTTCCTTTCTGCTTCTTCTAGTTTTCATCTTTTTTGATATTTTCAAACATGTGCGCTTGGTGGATTTTCTTCTCGTCTTTTTTTTCCGTTTCTTTGTCTAAAAATACCAAAAAGTTTTCTTCGTTTTTGGGTTTTTTTTTTGTTGTTTTTATTTTTGTGTTTTCAATAAGCAAAACGGCAGCTGCGGCGCAGCGTCGACTGCAAACAAAGTCGAAAAGAAAGAGCAAAGAAAATACATAACAAATATCTCTTTGTGCTTTTTTTGGGTTAGGGTGATTCAGGGGAGCTGGAGAGATGCAAAGATACACCCAGACAGATCCCAGATAGATCCCACATAGAGGCGTTGAAATGTGAAAGACTTTCCCGTGAGGTCTAGCATTTTCCAGGCCCTCACGAGTGCAGAGTTTTTCCATCATTCATGGCCTGTTGACACACCCTAAGCATAATTCTCCTGGCAGTCGTCGACGACATGCCAAAAAAGAATTTCTCGAACGTGTTCGGTCTGTTTTTGGGGCTGCCGGCTGGCGGCTGGCGGCTGGCGGGTTCCTTTAGCCCCAGCGACAGCTGCTGTACGCTTTCGGTCGGACGTATGTATCTGCAGCTGTGCAGCGGCACCTCTCTCCCTAAGACCCCCCCCCCCCCCCCCACACACACCCCACATTTTGGAAGCGCTGCTGCAATCCAGAAATAACTTTTTCGTGCATCAAAATGTGTGGCAGCGACACACACAGACACAACAGCCAGGTCTTTTGCATAATGCTGGGGCATCTCTAACCCTTGCCTGACCCCGGTCCAGGCTCCCTCCCCCTCCCCCTGGAGCCACGCACAATTGAAATCAATTGAAAGCGAAATTGATTGTTTAACCTTTTCGGTAAAGAGCAGAGCGGCTAGAGAAGGCCGCACGATTATAAAAATTAGTTCAAAGATTAATTTAATTATTGGGCAAATATTTCGTTTATATATTTTCTATAATTATTCTCCCTGTTTTTGCGCTCTTTTGATTTCTATTTTGGGATTTTTAAGGCAAATTATAGTTTTTCCCTCATCTGTTTTCTGTCTTTTCATCAGCCGAATATTATTCGTATACGTATTCGTAAATTTTGAATCGTTTGCTGCTCGTATTTGTATTTTAAGATAAGCAAAAGTTTATGAAATATGCCAAAAAAAAAAAAATAGTATATGAGAGAGTGAAAGATTGTTAAACGGAAAGACAGAGAGAGTGAGGGAAGGGAAGGGGGGGCAGGGGCAGAGCTAGTAAAAGTGTGAAACAGAGAGAGGAAGAGGGCGGGAGAGAGGAAGTGCTTGTTGCTCCCAAGATTTCTCTCCCTCTCTCTCTCTCTTTATGAATTTTGTTTTTGATTTCCTTCATTCGGTTTTACATATATACAAATATTTTTTTTTTTGGGCTTTTTTGTTTGTGTGTTTCCTCTCTTTTTCTCGTTTGCGTTAGATTTGCCGACCTCTGACGTAATTTACGGAATAATGATCGCGTTTTACGTCCAAAGAAATTGATTTGTTGATGCGAATGAAAAATTTAAATATTGTACTGCCCGAGAGAAACGTGACAGACCGAAGACTGGGGCAAGGTTTTCGAATGAAATTGAAATTTGTAAAATCAGATTAATTCAAAAAGGGAAAAGCCACAATCTTTATAGGAAATACTACTCCCCAAAGACCAAAAAAGCATCGATAAAGTCCTTCGGTTACCAGATTTCCTATGGGTTCTCAAGCATTCCCAGAAGATTTCAATGAAATGAAGTCCCCGACGAATCACCCCATATGATACCATATCAGGGAGCCTACCATGCAATCGCTTCTTGTGGGCCACTTTCGAAAGAGAGATTTTGGGCAAAAAGCTTCGCTAATAGATGTCAAATGAAGCAGCCCACGTCCAGGTGAATTATCCCCATCAAATGGCTCACAAAGAGAATTAATTGGCCAAGTCGAACTCTATGTTTGGGGCAGGCTTCAGGGGGGAGGGGGGGCGGGGCCACCCACCTGCATGACATAAGCATTTATGATCATCATCTTTAGCATTTTGCCATTTAAGGCAGGGGCCACATCTCTGTCTTGAATCTTCTGCTGTTACGGATTTGTTATGGTCTCGCTGCCCCCCTTCCCCTGCCCCTTCCCCTGCTCCCTGTGTGTGTGTGTGTGTGTGTCATGGCATATGGCACGGCACCCATGGTTGGAGCTTCGTGCAATTTCAATCGCTTTTCGGAGCGAGACCTGGAGGGTTTTTGAGTGTAGTTCTTTTATCTAATCGGCTTTATTGATAGCAGCCGTCGAACTGTGTGTGCTCCCCTCCCCCCTTTAGTACCCCTTGCACTCAGGGGTTGTATGTTTTTTGCTTCCCCGTTTCCTCAGAGCTGTCTGGGGCTTCGACCCTACCTTCTGCTTTTCTTGTTACCATTTTCTTTCACTTTTATTTTTTATGGGCGCATCGTTAAATATGTGTGTCATGCCCCTAAGGTGCAGCGGTCTCTGCTGTCTGGGGGTGCGGATGGGCTGCCTCTGGTGGCGTTGTATAATGTTGCAAAAGTCTGAAAGCGGCTACTGACCGATGTTTTTATTTTGTTTTTCCTACGGCTTCGGGTTGCGTGGTTATTTCTTTAAATGCATTAACTTGTCGCCCGGCCCACCCCACCCCACCCCACAAAGGTATTCAGGGCGGCTTATGTGGGGCTTTATGGCCGCAAACGGGGGGCCCGCATGGGTTAACTCTGTGTGCCAGACAGGCGGCACAACTTGATGCACAAATTCTACCATGAGTCGCGTATCTAAATAACGATAGAAAGAGAGGCCCGCCCTCCCCCTCTCTCCCCCTCTCTCTCTCTCCCTCTCTGGGGCGCTCTCTGTTATCAGCGCAGTCCGCTCTCGCACTGAAATTCCACGTTGGATAACTTATTGTAAATGGAAATGGAAACTTTATGACGGGATATCCCTCTAAATGCCAGCGATAGCGGTGGTAATCCTCCATAACCGATCTATAGGGAAATTCTCGTGTGTTTGGCACCATTTTCTTATCGAAAATAAGTAAATAAAAGTAAAATTATTTATTTTATGAGCAACCCAGTTCCAGATGCAGATTCGTGCCGCTTCTCACAGTGCCCCCTCCGTGCCCCCTGTGCCCCGCCGTGCCCCGTGCCCCCGCCTGGTATTGATTCAGCTTGCATAAACACTCGAGTTTTCGTATGGAACGCGAATGTGAACAAATATTTAGTGGGAATGCGTTAAGAGCTACAGAAATTAACAGTTTTCAATCTACAACAAAAAAAAAAGAGTCACTCCACTCTCTCTGTCGCTCTCCCTCCCCCCCCGCTCTCTTTCCCTTTCTGGTTTCGGCGAGTCTAACCTTCAAAAAAAAAAAAAACATACACTCTTTTTGAGACCGAAAAAACCAGTCAAAAAACTTGTTGAACTTGTTTTTGTGGACCGTGGGGGGGAGGGGAGGAGATTTGGGGTTTTGCATCAGCATCTTTTTTGTCTCTTAATGATATTTTAATAACCGAAAAAATCGCAGAAGGTCCTCAGGCGCTCTCAAGGTGGCCTGTAGGTCGGCGGATGCAACAATCTTTCGATATTCGATTTTTCTTTGGCCCAATTTTCGTCAGACGATACGGAAGTTTATTTTCGTAAAGCGCTTTTCCACACACGCTTCTGGTCATAAATTTTCCTGCTTTTCCTACTGCGTCAATGACACGGCTGCTAATTTCTACATCTCTCTATCTCTATCTCTATTTGTATCTGTATCTGAGGCTATAGTCTATATAGATGGATAGATACTGATGCCCATCCACGTCCGCTTGCGTGGGCGCAACAGCTTCTCTGTTCTTCTCTGGTTTTTTTTTACCGAAAAAAGTGTACAAGAATTCTCGCAGCCCCCACGTAGTCGATGAGTCTAACATTTCTCAGCTCATAAATTAAGTTGAAATTTATAGAATATACTCGGATCGTTTGGAAATCAAGTTGAAATACGGAAAAGCAATTTGCGGCTGACATCATACGGAACCCTCGATAGTCTAGTCAAATGGCTAAGATACCCACACAAACACACATAACATAGATACAAGTGCGTGTATCTTTTCGTGTGTGCCTAAGGTTTATTAATTGTCTTTTCATATGGAGTCGTCGGAGATAATTTACGGACAGTGGCGGCAGATACGAGGGCTTTTTGGTGGCTGTCAAAAGGAAGTGACAAAAGCAGGGCAATATAGGGAGGAGGAGGAAGGTTCTTGGGGGTAGAAAGTCTCCCTTTAAAGGGGGTTCCTGGAGGAAGTTATTCAAAGGGAAGTAGCCCCCCAGAATTCCCTTTTTCAAAGACTTTGATTCATTTGCCGCAAAAGATAAGATAAGATTAAAACTCACACAAAAACAAAAGCAAAAAGAAAAGGAAAACAAAAAGCAAATGCGATAAATATCAATTAGTGTGACGTCATCGATGATTAAATCCGTGTTTGCAGCATTTCTCTGTCTCTCGCTCTCTCTCTTTCTCACTCTCTACTATATATAAACAATGTATATTTTTTTTACAGTATTTTTATTAATAACAAATACATTTCTCTCCTCGATCCGAGCGGTAAGTGCGTTGAACAATTTATTTCTTTGCTTTAAGAAACGGAAAACAGCAACGAAAAAGGGCCGCTCCCCCTCTCTCTCCCACTCTCTTGAATGTTGCTTAAGCACCCGCTGGCCATGGATATACATACTATTTCCATCTTCAGGAACATTTAGTGCACTTTAGTTGATTATTTTTTTTGTAGTTTTTTTTTTCTTGCGTTCCCTGCGCCGCCAAAACGCTCCAGAAACCGCTGCTGCCAACTGGATGCTGCTCATCAGATACATACATATGTATCTGTGTATATTCGAGTATATGTGAAACTATTTTTAGTCAATTATATCATAAGTTGTGTATTTCATTTTGCAAACACACACACACACACACACACAGACAAAATTGCCTCATACGATCTCATATGTGTACGTGATCGGTTTATAGTGTATGTGTTTGTTTTTTTTTTTTTTTCTTTTTTGTATTTGCATTCGGCATAAGAACTTAATACCAACCACTATGCGCATTACTAACCCAAAGAAAAACAGAGATTTGAATCAGTTTAAACCATTCATACATTTAGTCTTAGAATCGCTCTCACACACACACTCTCTCTCTCTCTCTCTCTCTCTCTCTCTCTCTCTCTGTCTCTCTCTCTCTCTGTCTCTCTCTGTGTATCTATCTGCCCCCGAAAGCAAATGGCACAATCCTAAAGATATGTTTTCTCTCTTTTATTCTCATTTCAGATAATGTAAAATCAGCTTGAACAGAAAAAAAAAACAAAAAACAAAAACAAATCTTAACAGCTGCGTCTATCCATAGATTTATATATACGCCGCCCGCCGCCCCAGAAATCAGCTATCAGCTACATCCTCCCACAACCCCCCATCCCACGCCCCCCTCCGCCCGCCCGCCCGCCCGTCCGCTACGCAGAACGTGCAAACGTGTAAAACGCTAAGACAAAACAAAAAAGCCATCTTCTATATGCTATACAAGTGCTGATCAGATCTGTTTGTTTCTTGCGCGTGTGTGTGTAAAATCGATCTTCAGACTGCAACGAAAAACCAGAAGAAACAGAAGAAAAACCAACGCGTTCTAGTCGCCAGCTAAAGTCTAAGCTAAAGTCTATTTGAAAGCTATCCTAGAGCCGTAGACACACACAGACACACACACACACACACACACAGACAAATCTCTATCCATATATATACATATATACATACAATATCTGTATCTGTATCTGTATCTGTATCTGTATCTGTCGAATACAACGATCAAATGGCCAACGTTGTCAATATGAACAGCCTGTTCAACGCCAAGGACTCGCGCTGGCTCCAGCTGGAGGTCTGTCGGGAGTTTCAGCGCAACAAGTGCTCGCGCCAGGACACCGAATGCAAGTTCGCCCATCCACCGGCCAATGTGGAGGTACAGAACGGCAAGGTCACCGCCTGCTACGACAGCATCAAGGTCAGTATATGCCCCAAACCACCAACAATGACCCCCAACCCCCACACCCCACAACCCCAGTCCATACCCCCCGACTTTTGCTTCTTGTGGATTGTAGATTGTAAGCTTTATGATTTTTCACCTCAAAATAAAATATAACCCACCCAGATTTCGTTTAGGGCCCCCCCCCACCTCTCAAAAAGAAATAAAACTGATCTTGTCTCGCTTTTGTTGTTTGTGCTTTTGTGCTTTTACTCCATTTTGTTTTTATGGTATCTCTGTGCTTCCATATACATATATATATATATCTACTATACACACTACTATATCTAGTTGAAGCTTTAGTCCGGCTGCTGTCCCTCCTTCTCTCTCTGTCTGTCTCTCTCTGTCTCTCTCTCTCTGTCTGTCTCTGTTAATGCCTGCGAGCGCGATCAAAGCAAGCTTTTGAGGCTTTCGTGTGTGCTTGAGTCCCGAGTAGCGAGCTTTAGCTTTTAGAACAATTAAGAGAGTGTTCCAGCAATAAACCGTATAATTCGAGTGATTTTTAGGCCGCGCCACACTTAGCCATGGACAATCTGCAGGTAAAGCTCATTTGATACTAAATTTAAGAACTTATTTAAGAACCTACATCTAAGTCCCGCCTAAAAAAAGCGCCTAAAAGGGTTTCAAACAGCTCGCAGGACAATGGCCGCAGAGCAGAAACCCCCGGAACAATGTAGTTGTTTTCTTTATTAAGCTTTTTGTTTTAGGGAACAAAAATGGCCACCTAAAGTGAAGTATTTTATGTATACACAACATAATGCTGACAAAATGCCCTGGCCATAATCATAATCATCATTATCGCGCTCCTCGACGGGCACTCAAATTTTGTGACAGCATAAAAAAAATTAGGTTTTTGTAAATTTTTGTGCTGCCGCCTTTTAGGCGTTTCGCCAGCCCAGCCGCCCCAAAAAAGCGTTTCAAGCCTTAAAGTTCGGGGCCCACCCACGCCCCCCGTCTGCCCACTCGAGTCGAGTGTGCAAACAATAGTTAAAACTGCTGTTTGGTAAGTAGCTCGTTGCTGTCGAGTGCAGGATGGGGCGGGGGGCGGGGCTGGTCCTTCTTCGTTTCACGCCCCAGCGACAGAGGCCACAACGTTAATTGAGCCACTGCCTGGGTCCGGGCATGCAGGTCCTTTGTTTGCCCATGAATGAATGTATTAGAGTGCCAGGGCCCTCAGTGCCATCAATCATTTCCCAAAAACACATCTAGGGTCCTTTTTTTTCGCACATATTCCATCTGTTTGTGGCAACAGCTGGCCCTGTACAGGGTACTGGGTACAGGGTACAGGGTGCAAATAAAGCTCAGACATTCATTGCCCACAAATTAATTGTGTTATCCTATTAATTAACTATGCAGTAAAATTGCCGGGCAATTTCCCTCGCTTTCTTTTCTCCCTCTCTCTCTCACTCTCTCTCTCCTTCTCTCTTTTTGCCTTTGAGTGTTGTAATTGTTGGCCAGAGTGTGTTTGCATTCATTTTCACCTCTTTTTGTCGTCCCCTGTGTGTGCGTGCTGAGGGTTTAAATGCATAACGAACTTAAACGTAACCAGAGGCAAGTAACCACCAGCACTCACACACACACACACACTCCGACTATGTACTGTACACATAATGGCGGCTGAGAAGCAGGCAAAGCCTACATATATGCCATAGGCTCCTGTGCACGTACATTTTTCGTCCTGACAACCTCTTTTTTTTTATTTTACTGTGCGGCCACGACACTAATTTATAGCCACGTTGCCGCATTGTAGACTTTCCAACTGGCAGCTCAACTTAAAGTAGAATTTCAAGTGGAAATTGGGTCAATGGCGGTGGCAAGTGTGTTATCCGAGGCTGAACGTGTGCCTTATATTGAGTTTAGAACGAGTTAAGCTGTTCATAAGGCACCAGAGTGTTGGTTATAACGTTATCCGGGCTTATCCGGGTGGAATATCGTTATCCGAGATTGTCCTGGCATAGAAATAGCTTTTAAAATGTAGGACATCATTATCCGAGCTTATCCGGTTGGTTATAAAATCATTTTAAAGCCACCTATGTGGCAAAGATACATATCTATCCGTAGTGGATAAGGTATTTCCGGACTTATCCGTGCACAGAAAACCTATCCCAACAGGTTTTAGGAGGTGGAATATCGCTATCCGAGATTGTCCTGGCTTATCCGTTTGCGAAAATTTGGAAATATTTATCCGAACTTATCCGTAGAGGTATGCCACACTTTTCTTCAAATCGAATGCATAGAAATTGCTTTTAAAATGAAGTACGTTATTATCCGAGCTTATCCGGTTGGGTATAAAATCACTAGAAATCCATCTTTGTGGCAAAGATATCTATCCGTAGTGGATAAAGTATATCTGGGCTTATCCGTGCACAGAAAATGTAATCCAACAGGTTTTAGGAGGTGGAATATCGTTATCCGAGATTGTCCTGGCAGAGAAATAGCTTTAAAAATGTAGGATATCATTATCCGTGCTTATCCGGTTGGGTCTAAAATCACTAGAAAGCCATCTATGTGGCAAAGATGTCTATCCGTAGTGGATAAGTTATATCCGGACTTATCCGTTTAGATATTCGGGGTTTCTCGTTCAACGCACAATCTGTACGGATTAGCCTCTATCCCAAAGCGCGAATTGCTTTTAGCTCGGCCAAGCGTTGCCTTTTGCCTGACGACCTCCTGACCCTTTGGTAAAATTGGCATCATTTCATTGGCAATTTCCCCTCAATTTAATTCTGCCACAATGAGCCGTCGTGAAACTTTAAAAGGCACTCGAGAGCCCAGGGAGCCCAGAGCGCAAGGGGGCTCGAAAGGAGTGAAAGTGTGTGGCAAGGGGAGAAAGGAGATGAAGACTGAGAATGAGAATGAGAAAAATCGCATAGCCACAACATAAAACATTTTCCGGTTTATAATTTTCTTGTCAACACAATTTTCACGCCATGCTCTGGCGCTGTGCGCCCAAGCCCCAGCCTACAATGCCACGGGCAACCGCCTTGCCACCCCCCACCACCGCCCATTCTGGGCTGGCGGGCTGGCTGGTGCTTATGCCACTTTATCCGGCGCTTTTCCTGCGCGTCCTTTCGCCGCTGCGCGCTTTTGCTACTTAACCAACTGTAAAGCTCTCGGCCATATTGTGTGGCACCTTATTTTTCTATTATATTTTCCCCAGCAGTGCCGCTGCAACATATTTTCTGTGCCCCCCCCTCCCCCCTCCCGTGGCGCCCTGTCACCCGTTGTTCCGCTTTCCTTTCTCTTTCTCTGGGCAACAAAAGTCAAGTTCCCGTGCCATGCAAATTATGAGAAAGAATGAAAATGCCGCCCCACAAAAGAAAAACGAAAATGGCAACTCTTCCGCTTCCCCCTCCGCCTCTCTCTTTGGGATTCCACTTCTTGTAGTTGACGCTTGAAATATCCTGTATCGGATATACTTTCGGATAATTACATTTGAAAGACAACAAGGGACAACGAGGATGGACCTCCTCCTTCCTTTCGAAAGTATTCAATGTCATCCAATTATTTGTAATTCTATTTGTTGTACGAGTATCTTTCTCTGGCATTGAAATCGATAATAATAATAAGCAGCAGCAGAAGTGAATGGCGACAAAAGCAAACCAAAGAAGAAAAGACCCAAAGAAATTCCAAATAAAAATTCCAAATTATATTCATATTCGTTTGGGGCGGGCCAAGGGGGAGAGGGGGGGGGACAAGAGAAAACTTTACGACTGTCAATGGAAATTGCAATGAATAATATTCGTAATTGAGGAGCGAAAGAAGGAGAAAATCAGACAAAGATCGCTGCTGTCACAGATACAGATACAGATACAGATTTCGTATCTTTTGTGAGCTCCAGGCACCTGCCGAGATGGGGATGGGGGTGTGGGGTTGGGGGGGTGGTCCCCGCCTAATTTGTTATGCCTTACACGCGTTGCACTTGGAAATTCCGCAACAAACTTCAAGTCAATAACTCAGCAGAGAGCGACGGCTCCTCGACTTCCAGGACTCCCCAGCACTTAATGCATTATGCAACAGCAAGTTGTGGCATGTCCTTGCACACACGCACATGTCTGTGTGTGTGTGTGTGTGTGTGTGTGGAGCCATTTCGCAGTTGCTGAAACACAATTCATTCGGTGCTGCCGTCTCCGACCCTGCCAGGCCAGGACGTGACTGCAAATCGAGCGGCGGCGGGCATGCCTTAAATAAAATAAATGACACATTATCAATATAAACAAGAGGAGGACGACTGCCTTGCCGTAGGAGTCGCATCGCATCGCATCGCATCGCGTACGCGAGCTGCAAGCGTAAAGTTGTTAAGTTACTTAAGCCAACAAATGAAGCGGGCCAAGATGGAGGGAGAGCGAGCCCAATGGGTCGGCCAGTACTCTCTCTCGCCGTCTGCCTCCCTGGAGAAGCAGTCACGAGCCTGACAAATTGCACTCGGGCGCCAGACTTTCGCCTCCTCCCTTCGTGGGCCACAAAACAAAAGGACGAGGCAGGGCTGGCGGCGGCAAAGTTAGCGACAAGAAATATACCCGTTAATGCAGTGCCGGGAAACTTGCATATGGAAATGCGCCAAAAGATTTCCACTCGTTGGACTCCTTCTGTCCCAAGGATTATATATTCATACGAGTGTCAATCAGCTGCCAGACGGCCCAGATCGGAGCAGATATTTACTCTTTTGGGGCAATAATTCTGCAGCTCGAGCGACTTTGATTGACTGGCAGAGTGTTTGTTGATTGAAATTGGATTAACGCGTCGGGCAGAATGTATGGCAATGGGATTACAATCCAGCGAAAACAATGTATATTTCCCGTTTAAATCAAAGACGAAAGGCTGCCGGCTTAAAGCTAGTCGAAAACCGTCAACAACTTGAGACGTCTCTGCCACCTCAGTGCCTGCCACGCCTGTCTAAGAGGCGACACGTTTGCCGCAACGAAAATCGAGTTCAATAAAAACGTCATTCAATTTATTTTCAATTTTTGTGGCGAAAA